CGGATCAGCGACGGCTGGGGCATCCCGTCCCCCATCGATGCCGTCTTCTCCAGGTGCAACTGCGACGGCAAGACCTTCTTCATCAAGGTGGGCAGCCAGCCTGAGGGCGCGGGGGGCAGCCCGGCTTAAAAAAAGGTGCAGGTTTGGAAACACCCTGCTCTGAGGCCGCGCTGCTCGTTGTTCCATGGAACAAGAAGCGTTTTTGACCAGCGCGGTAGGTTTGACACTCTGGGGGTGAAGTGTCTTTTCCCCGGCCCCCCACTCATCTGCCTTGGGATGGTGCTTGTCAGGAAAAAACTCAGTAACGTGTTTTTTTTCCCCCGTGAAGCATTGGTGGAATAACTGATAATCGAGTCACACTTACATACAGGCTTCAGAAAAATCCAACTCTTTAAAATATGAGTATTTTATCATGTTTGTCCCTTGCCCAAACATGGCCTAAGTTTGTTTCTAATGCGTTTCCCTTCCCGAAAGATGATAAATGCTGACACCTCATTAAAGCCATTATACAGTTACTTCCCAATTAATCACTCAGTCCTGGAATTCAAGCAGCTTTTTCCATCCATGAAAATTTAGAGGTTAAACAAGCAAAGTGCCTTGCTCAGTAGCCACTCTTCACAGTTCATTGCTAAGATCCTCTGCCCCTACTCGGAGCAGTGTTAAAAGACTGCAGAAGGTATTTTAGGAAGTTGCAATTTTTTGCCTGTTTTTAGTGGTTCCAGTCAGTTTTACAATGGAGTTATCAAAATGCTAGCGTTACAATGTGTTTTTGTGTCTGTGTTGAAGCTCAGTTACCAAGAACGAATTTCCTCTAACGCTCATTTTTTCCCTTAAATCATTAGGGTCCCCTGTACTGGCGTTTCACTAACGGTGTTATGGATAAAGGCTACCCCAAACCTCTTGCAAACGGATTTGCAGGGCTAAGCGGGAAAATAGTAGCAACCCTCCCCGTGGCAAGATACAACAACAGACCAGAATCTGTTTACTTCATCAAAAAAGGTGTGTCTCACATTTCAGAAGTTCGCAGATAATCAAAAGGTGCTTGAATTGCCTTAATCAGGAATAAAACACTGTTTCTCTTGACTGAAAGATGTATTTCTTTCAAAACCAGAAACATAAGTGATGTCAGTGTGCTAGGTGGTCAAAAAATAGCCTGAGGCTTTAAAAATTTGCATTAGTGCTTACTTTAGGCGCATTTTAAGAGAGACAGGACTGTAGGGGACCGAATCCAGCATTGTAGCGGACAAACATTAAAATAAGTTTTACCTAGTGGTAAATTATTTTAGTCTCAAGTTAATTAGCGAATGGAAGGCTTTAATCTTTATAACTATGTATGGAAATCTCCCTCCCTATTTCTTATTTCATATTTTAAATTAATGTAATTGCCTTATAGGAAAGATGTACTGCCAACTTAAGAATTGTTATCCGAATTTAAAAAGCAGAGGTTAACGAAATGCAAACCCTTTTCTGGACTTCAGCCCTCCTCTCATGCAGCCTAAAATGACAGTCTCACCCTCTCCTTGGTAAATAGGACTGATGGCAGCAAAAGCAGCTCCCCTGGAATCGTACTTGCTACAGTACTGTAAGGAGGCTGGAGGAGGTATCACTACATCTAGAAGCACACGTTAGGCTTAGAGCAAGGCTTTTCTTATCTCAGAATGCAGGAATGGATATAAAAAGCTGAAGGCTGCCACAGTTGTAGATGTGTTAAATGATGCAGCTGATCTCCTGTGTGTGATACAGTCATCGTGTAATATGGATATCAATGATATTTTCATATGTGATCTAGCTGGTGGTTTAGTGTGGTTTTGTGGGTTTTTTTGTTTGTTTTTTTTTTAACCAAACCAAATGAAACAAATGTCTATACTAGATGGCAACATGCAACAGTATGTGTACAGACAAGAACCAGCCAAGAAGTGCCAAAGAAGAACCCAGGTTACCGTAAGATACCCAGCTTATGTCCCAAGACTTGTAATAAGGAGACGCTTTCAACGGGCAGTAAGAATGCCAACCGTTATTCAGACTGTCAGAGTCAACCCATATCCATCTGGTAACTTATGTTTATTAAGTTTCTTTCATACAACCGTTTTAATCTCAGTAGTTTCTGAAACACAACATTCCGTTCCATTTTTTTTAAATATAATACTTCTAAAATTTTTTTACCCAATAGATCTCGCTTGCTGTAGATGACACAAGCAAATGATAGCTTACAGCAGACACACTGCGACACTGCCTAACTTAACTTTATCTTTTGCTTGCAGGAGTTTTGCGTAAGGAAGTCAAAATGACTGCCTACTGGCGAGGGCTCCCGAAAGTTATTCATTCAACTATATCACTACCCAACCAGAATAAGCCAGATGGCTACGACTATTATGCGTTCTCTTACAGTAAGTTAAAGCTAATGCGAGTTACTACATACTGCAAAAGGCTAGGGGATGGGGAAGAAAGAAGCCCACATAGCTCTCGGCTTTTCGAAGCGTGAGGTTACCACTTGTGATTCTGCAAGACTAATTTTAAGCACTACTAAAAAGTCCTGAGAATTTAAAATGTTGCCTGCAATCAAGAGAAGTTTCTATTAAAAAAACCGCAATAGTTACAGGACAACTAGCAGCAATGAGGTGCAACGATTCAAACTAGCCAGTTGCAGAATGCATTGCCGTTAAGAGTTCAGGCTTATACAGTGACAGAAAGCCCAAAACTTAAATGCAGAATTATATTAATGATAGATTGAAATCCTTGGACCACTACACATCGACAAGTTTTTCACTGGCTTCCACGGTACTGTATTTCTGGCAAAACAAAAAAGGGAGGGACATGAACCATTTTGCCTCACAGGAACAAGTTATTTATGATTCCAGATTTGGTAGATCCTCTAGCCAGGATCATGCAAAAGCATTCCTCAGAAACTTCTGGATTATTCAGAAAAAACCCAGCTGTAAGAACTAGCCGTATCCAAATACAGCATACTCAAATAAGTTTCTGCCAGTATGATCTAGTGCCTAACCTCAACATAGGCCAATTCACACTCGGAGACCACCGAGTTACCACTTTTGTAGTCAGTATTTCCAAATTCTTAAGACTATTTCTGTGTTCTAGCATTGTAAGAGTATTCTTCCCTACTCCCTGTTCTCAGGACAGATTTAATTATTAGCAGTACTGTAAAACTTAGCTAAACACAAAGAAGGACACGTGAAAAATAAAGTCGAGGGCAAAAATTCATTGTTACTGCCTCTCAACCCCATCCATGTATGTATGCAGAATGAAAAATCTGTCACCCATACCTAAATGAAATTAAAAGGAAGGCTTTAACTTCAAGATTCTTTCCATGCACTAAATGTAGTTTCTGGAATTTAATTCTGACACATCTTCATTTCAGATCGGTACTACAGTTTGGATGTTGGCAAAAGAATAGCAAGACCTGTCACCGCTCTCACAAGAAAGACCGTATCCAAAGACTGGTACAACTGTCCTAGCAAGTGATGCACAGCAAAGGAGTTATAAAAAAGATGCCATTTGAATGTTGACATTTTGTCTGATTTTATTAATAAAGACATTGAAATGTCTGCACACAAATCTAAGTATAAAATGCTGCTTTAAGCTCTGGCTTCATTACACTAAAGCAACCACAGGCAAACTGGCACTTTCTATTCATATACACAGCTGTAATTACTTTACAGATTATTTAACTAATATTTCCTCTGTTCAGGCCTCCTCTGCCTCCCATTGCATGAGTTACACCTGTGTTGGGAAAGAAAGCAAATAAATTAATATAAATCCTCTTCACCCTTTTAATCAACCATTGGTACATGCAGTACTTCATCCTCCCATACAGAATTGCTGCTCCAGCAGGGCACTTCCTTTCTGATAAAATTGAAGGCCCCTCTCCCTCCCCTAGGGCCCGGCGATGGCGGTACATTATACTTCTGTCATTTAAAAGGGTGGTGTTGACTTGTGATCCTATCTCGGGCCCTGTGCCGAAAGAACAAGTATAGCATTCTTACCAGATCTGAAATCAATTAGTTCCTTCCTTTTGTTATTAAAGAAATGGTGATAGACTAGAAAGAAAACCTATCCTAGGTCCACCTCCTTGCTTTTCTTTTTTCTTTAAAATATAGATACTTAGATTTCAATGCTAGTATCAAGTCTTCTATAATGTTAAAATAATGCCAAACTGAATACAATTCATCCAAGGGTTCTTCTTAATACAGAAGTTGCAGGCAATAGTGTATTGTCGTGGTTCAACTCTATATTGCATTACAAAAATATGTAATACTTCCACAAACTTTTGTTGTGTGTGGGTTTTTTTTTTTGTTGTTCCCCCCCCCCTAAAATCAGTGTAAGACACAGTGATGTAATAACTGGAACCCTTAAGGTACCAAATGGGAAACTGGTATGTAGTGGTTAAAACAAGTATTTCTAAACTTATGTCCTATCATTATTTTTTAACATCTTCTTTTAAAACTTGGTGAAATTTAACACCTACTGCCATTTACCTTCTCTCCACGGATAAGAACCAAGTGCCACATAAGAAGAAAGTTTGCCTATCTAAAGAGCACTCAGACTAACACACTAAAACGAAACTACAGACCTCTTAGGGTAACATTCTGAAAGCGAGGGCAGGCATGCTCTATTATTCAATGTCTTACAAGCAAACACAGGCGTATAAAGCAGTACTTCATATATGGTCCCCACAGGAACAAAGTACTAAGAACTTGTTTGAAAAAGTCTGAATTTGTCAAACGACTGAATTTGAGCAGCCACGAACACTTACCCCTCTGTCTGTTGAACTGACGACCACGAACACCAGTTCTTAATGTCGGTGGCTGAAGTCTGACACGTCGAAATGGCTTAGGCTGATTACTGCTCGTGTCTGTGAAGAAGTGGAAACGCAGGAAAGAATGTCTGTGTCTAGTACAGCTTCTCACTGTTAATGTTTACATGATTTGATATGTATTTACTCTCGAATTTACTTTAATTTACCTTCATAATGAAGGTGCATCCTGATTCCATTGACAATTTCTCTGATATAAATAAAAGCCTCAAAACAAGTATGTTTGGGACTTCTTTCATCACCCTTGCTAGGTGGTAAATTGGTAACTCACTGTTCTTTTGATGATTTAATTGAATGAAAAAATATTTTAAAATGTAACATCAGACATAACAGTGGATAGAATCACCAAGGTACTAATAACTGTTGCTCCTTGAAGCATTATTCTTACTACGGCCTACTCTAGTTACTGTGGTCCAAGTAAAAATTGTCTGCCATTAAGACTACAGGCATCAAAACGTGATCCTTCTCTAGAAGTTCTATCTTATTTCGTGTTATCTTGGCTATCAGCGGTGCATGATGCCGCTCGAAAAAGTTCCCACACTTAATGAAATGGTATGAAACAACTGCTTCCAGCAATTAACCCGTACCTGCAGATGAACTAGAAGGAGGATCTTGACTAGTTGAAGGAAGATCTGACTCATCAGATGCTTGAACAGATTCTTCTTCTTGCTGGCTATCAATTTCTAGGCCTGCTTCTGAAGTAATTCTAGAAGAGAAGGAGGGGGAGGAAAAACATAGAAGTGTATTCACATTGTTTGAAAAAGCTCAGGAAAAAAAGCATTATCTTGGAGCAGGAAGATTCCTGTGCAAATGGCTTTCCCCAGAAATTCTCACTGGTTTTATTCTGTTTTGTCATGTCCCCCTGCCCCAATCATGAGAGATTTATCTGGTTTTTAGAAAAGTAACAATGTCACTTCCTTGCTATGCAGCCCAACTCCAGATGCATATTCAACATCCTAATTGCCTTTCAGAGAAGGTCATAGAAGCTATTTAATCACAATAACTAATCAAACTTAACGTGATGGTGGTGTGTAGGTTTAGACAGGGGAAGAACGAAGTGGAGGGACCACACTGAGCGGTTATGCCTAAAAGATCACACATTGGTGCAATATCTGAGTTATTTGGACTCTGCCTTCAAAAGGCAAAAACCAAAAGCATTATAGGTCTGGAAAAAAAAATTAAACATTCAATTTAGTTTAAATGCAGCTCACTTTTTTGTTATGTATTTTTATCTACCTTGGTTAGCATATAAAAACTGTTAGAACATGATAGCTAGAACTCATAAACTGTGGGAAATATCTGTTCTCTATTAGGAACAGATTGACTTGCTCTCCTATCGAGCTAAAAGCCTGTTCCGAACTACAGATTGTTCTGTAAACCGTTTAGTTCCTTTATGGATATACTTCTCATTCACCAAAGATTAGATGGTTTTGTAAGACACAAATATCAGATCTTAACATCAGAATACCCATCCTATGCTCTATCTACTCATAGGCAGATTATTGCAGTCCAAGCTGGTGCTGCATCAAGAAAACTGTGCGGCATATTTAACTTGCAGCAGTAACATTTAATTTTCTGATGACCAAACCACTTACCTCCTGCAATCAGTAGATAGAAGTTTAGGTGAATTGTGAACTACACACCTTTTATTATTATGCAACCAATAAAAATAGAAAGTAAAATACAGCATAAAATGATAACCTATCCCCCTTTAGATTTGTAATGTATTTGATCATAATACAAAATACAGTAATTATTATAAGTATTAAAAATTGCACTTGCAAAGTGGAAGATAAAATGATTTGCCTATGAAATTCTCAAGAACTGCTTATTCTCCTCCCCTGTGCTACATTTTTTGTACTTGCACTGCCTTAACCGAATGACTTCATTATATATGCTTGCTTTGTAACAAGGAGTCCTTTCCTCTATTAACAAACAGGAATGCTTTAGCCTCTACAAAACCCAGTCCTTCAAACCAGGGCCCTTACCATCAGTATTTGACTACTACAGAGCCCTCTGCATTCCGAAAACAATACAGAAATCTTTTTTTATATTAGCCATGTTAAATCAGGAGAAAATCAGAAGTAAAACTTCAGTTTTAGACGAAAAGGTCAGATCATACTACTTCACAAAATTACTAAATCCTGTTTGATCTGTCCTTTGTACCAGAACAGGTTAAATTTGAAAATGAATCACAGGCACACTTGGATGAAAACAAATCATTAAAACTAACATGACATCAAGTCTTAGTGAATCAAACAAGTCATAGTTTACCCTTCAGATTCTGCCTCTGCAAAAACTTCATCCCCATCATCACCCGCTCCAGCCTCTGTAGTGGTGGACAGATTGCCAGTAGATGTTGTAACCATTGGAACGGACTGAGAAGCATGCTCTGACGCGTCAGCCGATGCACTTTCAGTAAAAACTGTCACTGTACGGGAAAGGTAGTTTAATAAACATTGAGTTAGTTTGAATTTCCTACAGAAGATCTGTGGAAATATTAGGCACGTCGGGGAAAGGGCTACTGAATACTCCTGCTGTAGCAGTAAGCACTAGAACAACAATTATCTAATTCTTTTCTGGAAAGTCAAGGTTTCCAACTTCTACTTCAGCCTGCAAATTTCTTGCCACTTACCTGGTGCTGCTACTTGTAATGGTGTTGTGGGAACGCTACGACCACCTGATTCCTCCTCATGAGCAAGGAATAGTGGGGTTTCATACATTCCTAAACCTGCAACACAAAGTTTTAGTGACAATTAAAATAGCCAGCTAAAAAACAGATTAGCCGCCTTCTCTCTGTGTGCTTGATGAAATCCAGTGATTTGTACTTAAATATTGAGATTTTTGTTACTTTAAGCTGTTTTGACTTAATGCCAGAGCTAATTATAATTTATTAAAAGGTAAAATCTTGATGAAAATATTTCTATTTGTTTTACTTTCATCCTTTTCTTATGCCATTACTCTACGGTGAGCTTTCTTCAAAGAACAACATACTGTTCCATGCTGACAGGGATGCAGGGGAAAGAGACTGATTCAGGACAACAGCAAAACAATATAGACCAATTGCCTGGCCATCTCTTAGCAGGTAGGGATAGATCCCAAAGATTTCTTTGCATTTGCTGTTTTCCCCTTTTATTTTACTACAGGAAAGCCACAATCAATTATTTAAGAGTCGCAGGTTTCCACACTTCAACAAGGACCTGAAGTAGAATTGCAATTTCTTGACTGCGTTATTTGTTTTTCACTCTAGCAACCATGGAAAAGAAAGTACAGAAATGGTTTACCTCCTTGCGATGCAAGCTGACCCAGATCAGAGTGACTTGAGCTAGTTTGTGGCATATCTTCAGGGGGTCCAAATCTGAATCTAGGAACGCCAGCTACCTGGGGGGAACTATCAAAATAAAGATATAAGCAATTCTGCAATTTTTCCAATGATGGGGGACGGAGAAAAGAAAAAAACATAAAATACAACTTTCCGACCAAACCAAGAGAATAAATTATGCAAGAAACAAAATGAATTAATACTGACCATAAAAATCAGCTAAACTACTGCTAATTAAATAGCAAATATTTTCTCAAGCTTACTTGGACTGCATCCAAAAATCAGTAGAACAGTCATGAAGAGAATATTCTTTACTTATTCATCCTATGAATTCTCACCATTTTACGTAGACTGCGGAACATGTCCAGAACCGTCCCAAATCCAAAAATGGAGATAACTTTTCCACTTTTTTTGTAATATTGGAGGGGGGACAGGCAGGGAAGGAAATGAAATAGAAGAACCTATTTTTTTTGCTTATTCTCTTAAATCAGTAAGTTACCATACATTGGAGATGATCTGCCTCCTAATTTGCTGATAATTTTCATGATACACAGTTCAAATAATGATTACTTATTTGCAGATGCAGTCATCTATCACGTTTTAGTACATTACTCCAACCACAAGCTCACTTCATTTGAATTTATTTTCATTCTACTGAAAAATGTAAAGAAATAGATGCCATTTTTTTTTCTTCTACTTACTGAATGGCTTCTGCAAACCCATCTGTACGATGTGGAACTACAAGGGTTGGTGTGCTTGGAACTGTTCTATCCTCATCATCGAAGAAGTGTTGCTGCTGGAAAAAAAAGAGACTTACATGAGAGCCTACGATGTATTTCCAGTTTCTACCAAATCAAGTTAAAGGTTGGTTTGCTTTTTCCACATTGTCCAGCAAAACAAAGACAGATTTAGCTCTAACAAAATTCTTATCTAATTTCAGGCATCTAAATCTGTGCTAGTTATATAGATCGCCCTTACAGGCAATTAAAAAAAAAAAAACAAAACCAAATCAAAATAAAATGCATACACTTGCAGGGCACCTATCTTTCAAAGGATTTTTAGACATCTACTCCAGGAGGTCATTGTATCATTGAAGTGCCACATCCCCCTGTTGACTACAAAGGAATCTCAGGGTGACTCACTCAAATATACAGGAATCATCTGACTTAATCTGGATTGCTGTAATGCACCTACCATATGGGATTTTTCACATATCAAATAGTCTGATCCCTACAGACTTGAGTCCTTTGTTCTGACATTGCCTACAAAGCCAGAAACCTCAGTTTTGTCTTCCCTTATCCTTCATAAGGCATTCTCTTTACCTCCCGGTCTTCCTCTCGTACCTTTCAAACCTCTCTCTCCAAAATATTCCTAAGCTCCCTCACGTCCAGGCAAAAATCAGTAGGTACTGGGGCCAGTTCCAATCAGAAACTGAACAACAAGTATATGCAAACCGGGTAGAATCAAAAACTGAGCTGATGCCTTTGATCTCAGAAAAGGTACTTTTTCAGCCAGTCTTTCTCCCCTCCCTCACCGAACTTGTATTCGTTCTGTCAAGTACAGTTAATGTTGGATTAAGGGTTCAAAATTAGCTGAAGGTGACAGACAGAAAGCATAAATGGATTAGCCTTGTTCCCTTAGGATGAGACTGAAAATGGTTCCTCCCTGCCCCCAGTAATATAGCCAATTTAAAGACTGATTCTAAGAACCAGTAATTAAAACTGCCTTGGACAAAACCAATTCAGTCTCTTTTGAAGAGCTTTAGCTTCCTGGGACTCTTCTAGCCTTCCATTAATACAGAAATTAACAGGACCAAGATATTATCTGTAAGGCTACAGAAACCATCCAATGTCTGAAGTCAGTAGCTAGACTTCTTTAAAAAACAAAATAACACCAAAGAGTTATGAATGCTGCCTCAATGCAGGTTTTCAGTAGTAGACTTTTGTATACTTACCATCCCACCTATACCAGGAGTTAGCTGAAGTCCACGCCCCACCGACTGTCTTCGAGTCATCTGGATTCTCTTTAGCGTAAAGAAAAAAAGTAGTATGAACGCTTTCCTGGCATTCTAATACCATACAATTGTTCAATCAGAGCCAAGTATAGTGGCTAAATGAGTAAGTGTAACAATTACATGTCAGTGTACAACACTGCTCAGTACAGGCATATCTGCTGCCTGGTCTAACTACGAAAAAGAACCATGTAGGTTTAAATTGTGGGTAAGTGACAATACTATTTTACTCAACTTTCTACTGAGGACAGAAAACTTGAACACAGAAATATTGTGGCCCCAGGCCTCTGAACAAGTTAATGGTAAAGGATGTATCAGTCAGGATATTTTTTCAAAATTCAGGTTGTGATGTTTTCATTTATAAAATCTATAGTCTACATCATAGCATGATCATGGGTCATGATCACTGACTGTGAAAGGTTTAACTTAGAAAATGAATGGCAACACTCCTTTGCCCAATCTGCATTGAGACAGAGACTAACCAAAACTCCTGCCAACCTAAGTTACAACCTGTTCAAGAACAGCTTTTGTAGTGCAAATATCAGCAGTCACTGACTGAAACAACACTGTTATAATGACCCAAGATACAAATCCGTCAGGAGTGCCTTACTGCTTTCAATGTCCCCTCTCCAGCCATAAGCTGCAGGATGTGACGTGTTAAGTCAGTTTGCTCAGCTACCATTTTTAGGATGCTAAAGAGATGTCATCTATTTTTACAATACTTTGTAAGTAAAGTACTTTGTTTTTACTTAGAAGTCATACAGTAATTTTTTAAGTCTTCTGAATGTCTAGAGATAGTTTGTACCTGTACTGGAGGACCCAGTTCTTGAGGAGGAGCATGAATAGTTAGTCGTGGGGGCAGTGGATGTGGTGGTCTGCGTGGTGACTGTGGGGGCCGAGGGGCCTGTCTCTCCGAAGCAGATGATGGCTGCTGTTCTCTTGAACTTTCATGAGGAAAGGTGGACTCTGCAGCACTTGTACTACCTTCTCCTAAAACATACAGAAGCATAGATGAGTAAACCCATGCTCTCCAGACTGAGTTGAAAACATGAAGGCAAGTCTTCACATTCTGCCACCATGTTAACACAGACATTTTTACTCTGGCAAGAGTGGGCACAGCTAAGTATTGCTAGTTAAAAATCACTTTGAAGAGGAATTGTGCCAGCTACATCAACACCAGCACCAAAACAAACTATTGATTATTCAAGTGCTGATCTAGAGAGAGGAGATTCATCTACTGAACCACCAACAGCAGTTTCCATAGTGACCAGAGCTGGCAGGGTTTTCAAAGGAGTATAGAATATATCCAGAAAATAACATTTCAAAAGAATCTACGCTTCAGGTTAAAATGGTCTTTAGCATTTCACCTTATATTCTTTTAAGTGCATATTTTAACACATGCAAAAGAGCTTCTACATTTCCCCCCCCCTTACAGACACAGACTTTGAAGAAACATGGAATAACCATACCACTGTTTTGAGAATCGGCTGCCCTCTGGTTGCTTTCACCTCCTCCCATGCTTTCCTCAGTTTCTGTTCCAGGATCTGTACCGTCAGCACCCTAAAAAAACCCCCACATAAACATAATATGACAGCATTAAATGACTTATAGGCTGTAAAGAGGATATAAAAGCAGTAAAATGTATTCAGAAAGTAAACAAAGTCAAATCTATGAAAATCTTAAAATATTTCTGCAAATATCTACAAAATCATGTAAATGTGTACAAATGTATGAAATTTCAGAAGTTTTACATATCTGTACATACACAAATGTGAACAATGTGGCCATCATCACCTAATAATAATAGACAATTAAATGTCCAGCTTTTGAAGAAACTGCCTTACTGGCTTTTCAACTACAGTATTTGTTTCTGGCTCCTGTACTTTGCATTTTCATTCAGCCCTTTTAAACATTCAAAGGTGATTTGTCTTGTGAAAACACAGAAACTACTATCACCTACTAGCAGCCTCAATTTTCTAGGATGAATTCGCACTAAGATTTTCTCTTTCAAGTACTCAAATCTGTGCAAATCTGTGCCTTACACCACCAATTTATTCCAAGAAATTTAACTGGCTTTATATAAAAAAAGGTACAAATCTCACCTCAGCATCATCTGCTTCATATCCATCATTACCATCAGCACTACCAGTTCCTTCATTACTGTCATCACCTTCATCTCCCATCCCTGTGTCTTCATCATCATCCTCGTCTTCCTCTTCCTCATCCTCATAGTCCTACGAAAAAAACATAAAACCACCTTACGGAAGTGTGGAAAGGATAGTGGAATAATTTCACATGTTGAAGTGGTACACAGAAAACATCTGTCTGTGGATCTCTTTCTGAAGATATTCAGCATTTATTATGCACAGAGTAGCTGTATGTATTTTTTGATTGCTGTGACCTTGGCTGGCTGCCAGACACCCATCCTGCCACTCCCTCATTCTCTCCAACAGGACAAGGGTAGAGAATAAGATGGAAAAGCTTGAGGGTCAAGATAAAGGCAGCCAGATCACTTACCAAGTGCCATTACGCACAAGACAGACGCAACTCGGGGAAAATGAATTTAATTTGTTGCCAATTAAAAGTAAGTGTTGGATGGTGAGAAGCAGACAAAAAACTAGAACGCCTTCCAAACTTGACGAATGGGCCCGCATGAACCTCATGAGGTTCAAC